ATCAGGCAAGAAAAAGAAATCAAAGGAATACAAATAGGGAAGGAGGCAAACTATCCCTATTCACAGATGACATGATTCTATAGATAGGGAACCCAAAAGATTCCACTAAGAGACTATTGAAACTCATGAAAGTTTGGTAAAGCAGCAGGATATAAAATCAATACACAAAAATCAAAACCTTTGTATACACAGACATCACCAGGGCTAAGGAAGAACTTCTAAGATCAATCCCACTCACAATAGCTACAAAACATTTAAATACCTAGGAATAAATTTAACCAAGGATGTCAAAGATCTCTACAATGAAAATTACAAAATATTAAAGAAATAGAAGACATAAAAAAGTGTAAAAATCTTTCATGATCATGAATTGGAAGAATCAACATCATCAAAATGTCCATACTATCAAAAGCAATTTATAGATTCAACGTGATACCAATCAAAATACCAACAACATTCTTTTCAGATCTAGAAAAAATGATGCTAAAATTCATATGGAAACACAAGAGACCCTGAATAGCTAAAGCAATCTTAAACAATAAAAACAAAGCCGGAGGCATCACAATACCACACCTCAAGGCATACTATAGGGCAGTTATAATCAAAGCAGACTGGTATTAGCACAGAAACAGACATGTAGACCAATGGAGCAGAATAAAAACTCCAGAAATTAATTCACACATCTAAAATCAACTTATCTTTGACAAAGGAGCAAAAAACAACCCCTGGAGTCACAGTCTTCAGCAAACAGTGCTGGGAAAACTGGATCTCCGTGTGCAGAAGGATGAAACGAGACCCCTACCTTACACCTTACACAAAAATCCACTCAAAATGGATCAAAGACCTAAATCTATAATTTGATACCATCAAATTACTAGAGAACATTGGGGAAATCCTATAAGACATTGGCATAGGGAAAGACTTCTTGGAACAGATCCCAGAAGCACAGGCAATCAAAGCCAAAATTAATAAGTGGGATTACATCAAACAGAAGCTTCTGCACTGTAAAAGAACACTCAGCAAAGTGAAGACGCAACCAGCAGAATGGGAGAAAATATTTGCAAACTATGCAATTGACAAAGGGTTAACTTCCAGAATCTATAAAGAACTCAAGAAACTCAACAAAACAAACAACCTAGTCAAAAAATGGGCAAAGGATGTGAACAGATATTTTCAAGAAAGGAAATTCAAAAGGCTAATAGACACATGAAACAATGCTCAGTATCGCTAGCCATCAGAGAAATGCAAATCAAAACCACAATGAGATTTCACCTCACCCCTATTAGAAGGGCACTCAGAGAAATCAACAAACAACAAATGCTGGCAAGGATATGAGGAAAGGGGTACCTTAATCCAATGTTGGTGGGAATGTAAATTGGTTCAGCAACTGTGAAAGACAATATGGAAATACCTCAGGAAGCTGAATATAGACCTACCATATGACCCAACCATCCACTGCTGGGAATTTATCCAAAGGAAATGAAATCAGCATATGAAAGAGTGATCTGTATCCCCAGGTCCATTTCAGTTCAATTTACAATAGCTAAGATATGGAATCAACACAGATGTCTATCACCTGAAGACTGGATAAAGACATTATGGTATATATACACTATGGAATACTACACAGCAATTAAAAATGAAATCCTGTCATTTGTAACAAAATGAATGCAACTGGAAACCAAGGGGAGAGGGAGAGGGAGTGAGGGAGGGAGGGGGAGAGGGAGGGGGGAGAGGGAGACAGAGAGAGAGGTCTTCCATCTGTTGGTTCACTTTCCATATGGCTGCAACAGCTAGAGCGGGTCCAGGCCAAAGCCAGGAGCTTTTTCTGGAGTTTCTCATGTGGGTGGCAGGGGCCCAAGCACTCGGCCCATTCTCCACAGGGAGTTGGATCAGAAGTGCCACAGTCGGGACTCAAACTGGTACCCATACGGATGTCAGTGTTGCAAGCGGCAGCTTTACCTGCTATACCACGATGCCAGCTCCAAAGCCAAAGTTTAATTATCAACTCTGAGTGTTCACTTAACAATTCTTTCAACTTTTGGACAGAGAGAGGAATCTAGAGGATAGCCCAGAAAATAACTACAGCATTAATCTGTTTATGAGGGAAGGATGGAAACAGGTGAGACCTATCTCCACAGCCTGACTTTTTTAACTTCTAAAGACTGAACCTTGTGAATATTTATCTTGAGCAAGTAAGTAAAATACTAAAAATATTTAAAGTATCAACACCCCACATGTCCTTCGACAGATAAATGATGAAACCCGGTCTGGAGACCCACCCAAATGGTTGCATGTATGGGACCCTCAGTGCCTCTGTTGCTGAGTAGCACTCCATGGTGTGTATGTACCAGAGAATCACACTGACCAAAAAGTCCAATCCCAGGAGGCTGCACACTCTATCACTCCATGACACTCTTCAAATGACAGAATTACAGAAATGGGGAAGAGATTAGTGGTTACCAGGCGGGTTAGAAAGGGGTTTGGAAGACAGGAGAGTGGGTGGCTATGAAAGGGTAACATGAGGGCCTGTGCTGTGGCGCAGTGGGTTAACACCCTGGCCTGAAGTGCTGGCATCCCATATGGGCGCCGGTTCTAGTCCTGGCTCCTCTTCTGATCCAGCTCTCTGCTATGGCCTGGGAAAGCAGTAGGAGATGGCCCAGGTCCTTGGGACCCTGCACCCACATGGAGACCCGGAGGAAGCTCCTGGCTCCTGGCTTCGGACAACAGCCATCTGGGGAGTGAACCAGCGGATTGAAGACCTCTCTCTCTGCCTCTACCTCTCTCTGTAACTCTGTCTTTCAAATAAATAAAATAAATCTTTTTTTTTTTAAAGGAAAGGGTAACATGAGGGGCACTTGGATGATAGAAAGGTTACCATCCTGACTGTATCAGCGTCAACAGCCCAGTCATGTTTTCCAAGAGAGCAGCGATGCGCAGAACTTGGTAAAAGATCTATGACTTTTAAAGCCGCTCATCAACCTACAATAATCTGAAAAGTTCAACATAAAAAATAATACAAAAATCTAGGTTAAGATCAGCCAGTCAGTGCTGCTACCTAGCACATGATATGGACCTCTAAATGAGGAGCCAACCATGGAAAAGAACTGAGAGAGTTCCAGGCAGGATAACCACATAGAAAAGACTTAACCGAAGAGCAAAATCATCAAACTAGAAGAACAGGAATGAGGCCAGTGCTGCTGGAATACAGAAGAGAGGAGCAGAATGCCACAAATAAAAAGGATAAGCATGGAGCTGGGTAGATGGCACAGCAAGTTAAGCCACCACTTGGGACACTCGTATCCCTTTAATAGACTGCCAGGATCAAGCCCCATCTCCGCTTCCAATCCAGCTTCCTGCTAATGTACCTGGGAGGCAGACGATGGCCCAAGTACCTGGGTCCCTGACACCCACATCAGAGACCCAGATGGAGTTCCTGGCTCTTGGCTTCAGACTGGCCCAGCTCTGGCTGTCCCAGGCATTTGGGAATGAGCCAGCTGATGGAAGACAGATCTCAATCTCTGTCTCTTGTGTGCTCTGCCTTTCAAAAAAAAAAAAAAAAAAAAAGACAGGTATGGACCAGTCCATTCACGACTTCAGGGACCACAGTAAAGCACATGAATCTTGGTTTTAAGTGGTAAATTGGTAGAATACCATATTTATAACTAATTTTTGTTTTGTAAGCCTGAAGATAAGAATGCTATTTAGGGATACACATTTGGCCATTGGTGCAGTGTTAAAGACAATGGAGGGGCCAGTGCAGTGGCATAGAGGGTAAAGCTGCCGCCTTCAGTGCCAGCATCCCATATGGGCGCCGGTTTGAGTCCCAGCTGCTCTACTTACAATCCAACTCTCTGCTGTGGCCAGGGAAAGCAACAGAAAATGGCCAAAGTCCTTGGGCCCCTGCACCCACGTGGGAGACCTGGAAGAAGGTCCAGGCGCCTGGTTTTGGATCAGCCCAGCTTTGGCCATTGCAGCCATGTGGAGAGTGAACCAGCAGATGGAAGATCTCTCTCTCTCTCTCTCTCTGCCTTTCAAATAAATAAATCCTAGAAGACAAAAAAAAAAAAAAAAAAAAAAAAAAAAGGAATAAAGGATACCAGGATGCCCATATCTCACATCATAGTGCTTGGGTCAAGTTCTGTCTTTGCTTCTGGTTTCAGCTGCTTGTGTATCCTGGGAGGCTACAGATAATAGCTCAAGTAGTAGTTGGGTCTCTGCCACCTACCTGGGAGACCTGGATTGAGTTCCTGGCTCCCAGCTTCAGCTTGGCCCAGCCCCAGTGTTGCAGGCATTTGGGGAGTAAATCAGCAGTTGGGAGATACCTGTCTCTGTTTCTCTCTTTCACATAAATTAAAAGAACATTTTTTTAAGAATCCTATTTAGGGGTCAGTACTGTGGCGCAGTGGGTTGCCGGCCTCCATGCGTGCACTGGTTCGAGTCCCCACTGCTCCACTTCTGATCCTGTTCCCTGATAACGTGCCTGGGAAAGCTGCGGAAGATGGTCCAAAGTCCTCTGGCCCCAAAACACCCGTGTGGGAGATCCAGACAAAGCTCCTGGCTCCTGGTTTCAGCCTGGCCTAGCCCTGGCTGTTGTGGCCATTTGGGGAGTGAACCAGCAGATGGAAGATCTGTCTCTCTTTCCCCTCTCCTTCTGTAACTCTGCCTTTCAAATAAATAAATAAAATAAATAGTTTAAAAAATCTATTTAGCCAAAGAGACAATAAAAAAAAATAAGGAAATAGTGATCCCAAACAACATGAGCTCTTTAGTGACTTGAGATATGGAATCATTAAAATTCAACTTTGGTAACAAGCAAAAGGCAGAAAATCAAATGCCTGTCCTAACTGAGCTCAGTCCTATATTTCCTGGACTAACAACAAAAAACTATGGCTATGAATACAATTTAGTAGTTTTTAAATATTTAAACAACCCAAAGTCCATGCTATAATTCAGATTGTATTCTAAGTCATATTTGGTGTTCTGAACATCATACTTACCTCTTTTTTATCTTTGAACTTATCGATCTCCTTCTTCAAAAGCTCCACCCTTTGAAAGGACTCCAAGTTATTCACGCTGTATACAAGAACAAAGCCATCAGCAAACGAAAAATAATGCTTTGGCAGCTCCACGCCCTCCTGTAGGCCTCTGGTGTCATAAAGGTGTAACTGCTCCTTCACTCCCCGGTCCGTTTCCACAGAAGCCATATACACATCTTCCATCGTTTCACAGTCTTCCATCCCTGGGATGAAGAAGAAGATATTCTTTTTGGATAAGCCACTGTTAATGCCTTAGTATTTTACTGTTCTTTAGAAGTCAGTTTTCTAGGTTCCTTGTTTACCACATACAATAATATTTTTATTTTATTAAATTCTTCAAAATGAATATGTGTTAATAATAAATGGACAAAGTACATTCTAAAAATATTTCTTCTGCATAAAAATAATAGTAATAAAAATCTGGCAATTAGATTTATTATTTTAAAAATAACTATTATTGAGCTTAACACCTAAATTGGAAAATTAAAGGCCAATTTACAAAGTAAAGCACTTTTTTCTGCACCGTAGCCAAGGACAGGATCTGGGAGAAATTGGCTGTTGTCTCTATACCTCTATTCCCAGGACCTGTTTAAGCATCTGAAAAATGTACAAATCCAGTCTGGGGCTAAGCCCCAGGCCTTCAGTTCTCTATGGGGCTCTTCCAAGTGAATGTCCTGCAAGCACTTCAGACGGACTACACACGTCTTCCCTCCCCACACCTGCAGTGCCAGCATCCCAGATGGGCACCGGTTCGAGTCCCAGCTGCTCCATTTCCCATCCAGCTCTCTGCTGTGGCCTGGGAAAGCAGTGGACGATGCCCAAGTGCTTGTCCCCTGCACCCACATGGAGACCCAGAAGAAGTTTCTGGCTCCTGGCTTCAGATCAGCCCAGCTCTGGCCGTTGCAGCCATTTGGTGAGTGAACCAGCGGATGGAAGACCTCTCTCTCTCTGCCTCTACCTCTCTCTGTAACTCTGTCTTTCAAATAAATAAGTAAATCTTTTAAAAGAAAATGCATTTTACCATCATGTTGTTCCACTTCTGCAGGTTTTGTCTCCAACTATTCTAAGTTCCTTGAGTCAAAAAAACCATTCTGTGTACACAGCAAATACTAAATAATCCTTTGTTGATAAAGGAATTAAGTGCAGCAGACCAGCACTTTGAATTTTAATGAGGTATACGACAAGGTAGGTGTGCCATGGTCCCAGAAACCACCTTCATATGTAGAACATGCTAAACCAAAACCACAATTGTATTGTTGTAATTCCCTAAACAACCCAGACACTGTGGAGTGATAGGTTCCAGATGCCTTACACGAAATGTCCGTAAGTATTAGATTAAAAATAATCACGTAATAATATACAGATTGGATCAAGAAAAACCAAAAACTTCCTTTTGTCAGCATACATCTTTACATTAAGTAGCGTGTTCAGTGTTTAGTAAGGGAAGATTATTCTTAAATTTGATTATGTGTGAGTCTGTGTCATCTTGTCATTAAATTAAGCCTTGAGGAAATTCAAGGTTATTCTAATAAGACACAAACTTTCATGTTTTAATTCCGAAGGAATTTAAAAGCAAAAACTACTAAGACTTCCATTATGTCATGTTTTATCCACCAAAAACCAGTCTGGTTACCCAAGCCCTAACCCCTTCACTAAACTCAGACCCTTGGATATTTTGTTAGTCTACAGATCAACGGAAGTTACCCCTTTTCCTTCAATTCTCTAGACCTGCTCTCCCAGAGTGGGTATGATTCCACAGCAAAAGTGTGTCACGTTGGTGGCATTGTCCACAAACACACTGAGTGCTGGATTGCCCCCTACTCCCAAAACTTTGGCAGCCAGCCTTCACTGCCACAAAGAAGAATCTGAGGGATGTAGCCAATGGAAAAAGAAAAGTCCTAAATGCACTGACACCCCCGGTTCCCAAACGCCCCAGCCAAACCATCTCAGTGACTCTCAGAGTCAGAACACTATCCACGTGCTTAGAGCTTCCCGTCAGCTTTTTGGTCTCCATTCTTTATTGTGAGCAGATAACAAAAGTTCACCAGACCCCTGAGCAAACACAGCGGCTGAAAATCAGAAAGCAGTACGTGAGAGCAAGACAGGTGTTTGGCGTAGCGGTTAAGACACCTCTTGGGATGCCCACATCCTATATCAGACAGCCTGGTTCTGCATTCAATTCCAGCTTCCTCTCAGCCCTGGGAGGCAGCCAGCTGTCGCCCAAGTACTTGGGTCACTGAGCCCATAAGGGAGATCCAGGCTGAGTTCCAGAATCCCGGCTTCATTCTAACCCTACCCCAGCTGTTTCAGGCATTTGGGGAGTACACCAGTGGGTGGTAGATTTGCCCTCTCTGCTTTTCCAATAAATAAAAATATTAATTTTTTAAAAGAATACCTCAAAAGAAACAGGCTATACAAAAACCAAAACAACCATTATCTAGTATTATATCACAGAGACAAGACTGTACCTGTAGAACAAGAGCAGTATATTATATAAAAACACAACAGAAGAACTGGAAAATAAAAATTAGGAAACCTCTCAAAAAACAAAGCAAAAATATTGAGATGGAAGAGAAAGGGACCAATCCATGACATCCAGCATCCAAACACAGAGTCCCAGAAAAAGCAGACAGACAAGGTAGGCCATAAATTAAATAATCCAGAACTGAACAAGCATTTCCATATTGAAAGGGCCCAAAGACTGCCTAGTACAAAGGATGAAAAGAGACCAATTCTAGAACACCATGACTCTGAAATTCCAGAACACTGACGTCTTTGTCCATCTATATTGCTACAATAAAAATACCACAGCCCAGGTAACTGGTAAACAACAGAATCTGCTTCACAGTGCTGGAGACTGGAAAGTTCAAGATCGAGGAGGCAGGACTGGGTGTCTGCTGCGGCCCCAGTCTCCCGTTCCAAGATGGCGGCTTCCTGCTGCGCTCCCTGGAAGGGTCCAACATGTCCTCACATAGTGGAAGAGAGGGAAAGGTTAACCTCCTTAGAAGGAACAAATCCTGTTTGTGAGGACAAGCTCGAATGACTTCATTGCCTCCCAAAGGCCACACCTCTTAACACTACTGCATTGAGGAGTCATTTTAACATTGACTTTGAAGGGAACAACACCATCAATCAAACTGCAGCAACTGGGAACAAAGAGAACCAGCAACATTTCTACACAGTAAGCATCAAGAATCCTAATGCCTCCAAGATTGCTCAAAGCAGCACAAGAAGACAACAGAATCTGATAAAGCTGAAATACTTTGTAGACACCTCTGAAGTGGCAAATTCACTCTAGACTTTTCCCCCAGAATTTCTCACCTAATAGTTAAGGCCACATGATCCACAGTTTCACTTTCCAAGGCTTCAGCTACCCATGGCCATCACAGTCTGAAAATGCTACGTAGAAAATTTCAGAAATAAATAATTCGTAAGTTTTAAATAGCTTTTATTACAGTAAGTTGTTACATTCTATATTTCTATAATATTATTGTTCATCCCCTTACTATACCTAGTTTACAAGTTAAATTTTATCAGAGGCATGTACATATAAGAAAAAAACTGTACATACAGAGTTTGGTACTATCCATGTTTTCCAACATTCAGTGGAAGTCTTGGAACATACTCACTATTTCAGGGAAGAATCCTCTACAAGTCTGTTTGTAGCAGCATTATTTCTAAAGCCCTCGAACGGAAGCAACCCAAGCATTCATCAGGATAGGAGAGAGAACCTCCGGTATTGTCATCCAATACCATACTATTTAGCAATGAAAGTTAGCAAACCACAGCTACTCAATGAAATGGATGAATAAAACAAATGTGTTCGTGAAAGGAGCCAGACACTGGAGAATGATCCTTTTCATATAGTCTGTAACAGGCAAAAATATACAATACCATTTAATGAAAAAAGACATAGGTGGCAACACTATAAAGAATAGAAGGAACAGTCTGGGGCTGGCACTGTGGTGTGGTAGTTTGGGCCTCCGCATGCAGCACCGGAATCCCATGCGGGCACTGGTTTCGTGCCCCAGTGCTCTGCTTCTGATCCAGCTACCTGCTGATGGCCTGGGAAAACAATGGAAAATGGCCCAGGTGTTTGGGCCTGTGCACCCACATGGGAGACCGGGAGGAAGCTGCTGGCTCAAGGCTTCAGATCAGCCCAGCTCCAGCCGTTGCAGCCATTTGGGGAATGAACCAGTGGATGGAAGACCTCTCTGTGTGTCCCTCCCTCTGTAATTGCCTCTCAAGTAAATAAATAAATCTTTAAAAAAATAAAGAAAGAAAAGAAAAGAGAAAGGAACAGTAAACCAAAAGTCAAGGGGAGGACCAGGTTGACATGAGGAGCCAAATAAATGCTGGTTTGGTTTATAATTATTTGTTAAATCATACATGAATTTTACATACTCTTCCATATATGAATAATACATTTTATAATTTTTAAAAGGAGGAAAAGATGACAATGGAGCAATGTTATCAAAATTTTTCTGAAAGAATGCTCCAGAACCTGAAACTTTTTGAGTATCATGTCAGTGCTCAAGAAAGTTTCAGATTTTAAAGTACTTTACATTTCAGACTTTCAGATTAGGGATGATCAACCAGTAGAATCTATTCAAATATTCCAAAATCCAAAAAACTCAAATCTTTGACACACTGGTCCCAAGAACTTGAAAAAGGATACTTTAACAGAATTTTCAACCTATTGTTCCAGGCTCATCAAAATTATAATTCAAGTGAATGTAAAATAAAGACATTCATAAACATGTGAAGTCTCAAAGAAATGTATCACCTCTTTTTTTTTTTTTTTTAGGAAACATGTTACCTGGGGTCTTCAAAAGGTTCATGGAAATATGTATTATGAAAAAACTATGGATTGTGGGCCAGCGCTGCCCTGCGCCTTCAGGGCGCATGGCCATGCTTCTCGGCCTACATGCTCCTCCATGTGGCTGGCTCCTGGTACACAGTATGAACTCAGATTTCACTCCCTGTTTTAGATAGGACCCTCACTCTCCTATGTATTTCTCCCACTGAATAAAAAGCTTAAAAACTTAGAAAAAAAAGAAAAACTATGTATGGATTTCAAAAATTATATACACCAAAATAAATTTTTTAAAAAGATTTATGTATTTATCTATTATTTATTTGAAAAGCAGAGTTACAAAGAGAGAGGGGGTAAAGGCAGAGAAAAAGAGAGAGAGATGAGAGA